AGGAGGAGGAGGAGGAGGAGGAGGAGGAAGAGGGAAGGGAGGGGAAGTAAAAAAAGAAATAAAAAAGAACGTCATTATCAGGACGCTGCACTCAGGCCCCCAACGGATAGGTAAAGAAGCATCCACACGGATCACTCGGGTGATGCATGTTGCGTGGAAGCCCTCGCCTCATTAGCCTCGCTTCGCGGTCGGCGTCTAAACACCCAAGGCGGGACGGGACGCCGGGGACCATACCAAAACCGAGAAACGTTAATGATTGATGGTCGTTTTCGTGACACAAATATACAAATCCAGGTGAGACGGTTCGGCGTACCGTGATCAAAGACTTGCACCTTGTGTTGATTACTGTGAGCAGACATTCCTGTAGTGGCAAACCTCTACATTTCCCCCGCATAGTTTGGGGGTTTACTGTTGAGGGGTTTTTTTTTCTTCAGAAGGTGGAGGTGGATGAGTTGGAATCCGCCTATTTTCCTTATCTTTTGTCCTTCTTGTGTTTGTTACTCTCTTGTAACATCTCTAATCTCCGGCACTTATATAACCCAATTGTGTTGAGAGTGCCGAAAAACTCTTACCCACCAAAAAAAAAAAAGAAACAACAACATGAGTTGGAGTATTTATATATCTATGAGAACTGGTTTTGGTAAAACATAAATAGTACTGTCCGGATTAGTCACAATATAAAACATTAATGTATCTTTAACAATTTAACGCAATACAGAATTATTGTCCGATTCTCTCCTCAAATGGGCACAACTCCTGATCTGGTCACGTGCCACCTGTACACCACACCATTTTTGCTTTCTCCCCAGCTCTCTTCCGTGCCAATCTGTTGACCCATGGTCCCGTATAGACAAATAATGATTTAAAGGAAACAAACAGCCAAGAAGCAAACAGCGCAAATAAACCAACATTTTAAAAATACCCCCCCCCCCCACAAAACAAAAAGGACAACCCCCTCCCCAAACAAACAGAAACAAGATAAGAAACAAAATCAAACTGCAACCAAAAGCGGTCAACCTCACAAACACACCCTTCCTAATAAAGCAACGAGAAAGAATCAACCGAACAAACCTCATACAAAAGAGTTTGCCTCAAAAAGACTTTGCAGTGTTTAGCAGGATGAAACCAAGTAGATACATTATAGAAACGACGCCGTGCTAATGTTGTTCAATATCTCCGCGTGTGGTATCTTTCCCCTCGCCATCACTATGCACGGCAATGGACCTCCCTCTGGGCCTTCGAGTGAACGCGTTATTTCAAAAGTGAGCAAGCGGCGGACTCTCTAAACCGGATAACTGGGCTACCAGTGCATAATTCGAGCTACAAACCCGTTGAAAGCGGTTCTCTGGGCTATTCCAAACAAGAATTGATTTGCAGTATTATTTAACCGAATCGCTAGGCAAGAGATTGTGCTGAGCTGTTTCAAAGTCTGGTTCTCTCTTTTGGTTTCTACTGGCCTGCCTTAAGGGATCGATTGAATAGATGATGAAGACATCAAAAGGGCATTACTGAGGAAAATCATGACACAGAAGCACACCTTGATTCATCAGACTAAAGATTCGGAACGGCTTCATGAATCCAAAAACTTGAGCATTAGTTCATTCGTTTTCCCGGGAGCTTCTAAATTTGCCAAGCACAACTGGCCTCGATCCGCTTTGAACCGGTTTATAACAAACGGGTACATTCTGAAAAAAACTGGGTTCCTCAGGAAATGTGTGCCCGCCCAGTTCTAAAGTGAACTGTTTATCTTCTACAAGGGAGAGCGTCACCCCAACCTCCCAGTGCTGCTCGGAGCAATCTCTACAACACCAGATGCGGCTCTCTGTTTGATTGGACGGGGTAGCAGTGGCGATAAATTTCCATTAATGAGCACCGATTCTAAAAGGTGGTGAAACTCTCTCACCGTCCCTGCGTGGTTCCATGGTTTAGGTAGTCTGGGAACCATCACTGAGAATGAGACGCCTGAAGCGTATCGGAAAAATTGCAGGCATGTCGAATATCTCTCTGAGCGATAACATGTTCGACTGCACTCGTCGACTCCTGTGTGGCTGCCAACTCGGGCGCACGAGGAGAAAAACCTTTCAACTTCCAGGCAGATGGGTCAAAAGAAAAATGTGATACAGCATTGCATCAAATGGAAATTGGAAAAGGAAAATGTTTGGGGTTTTTGGCTACCCAATTTTCCTATACCTCTTCTGTCAGCTGTTTTCGATGCTGGATAATATTCTAGAAAATTTGATTCATTTGATTCTCAGGAATGGAGTATCGTCTTTTCTTTAATAATGTAAAGGCCTGAGAACGGTATAGCCGTGTCGCTTGACATGATGAGATCTACTGCTACGATTATGGATTCATGAATTATTAGTTGTACTTGATATGTTCTATTGGTTGTGAGCTAAAGAAATATATTATTTGCTTTGTTCTGAAAAAAGAAACTGGAGCCTAGATCTTGAATGTTCGGAAGTCGTAACAATTGTCTCTTAATGTTTGTGCAGAGGACGCAGACATCTTATTGAATAAGCTTAATATTAGGTTGTAGGGATTCTAACCTCAATAACATAATAGAAATGCTCACAGTAAAGAAAGATACTATATCAGAGACAGTGTCAAACCATATCAGGGGAGCATAGAGGCAGACATAATAATATTATAGGAAGCAAAGACGTGAATTGCTGTGAACTCTTCTAGAATTCGAATCCTCGTTTCGGTGTATCGTGCATCCAGAAGCCCCACCGAGCGCCCCAAGAACGTGAGGATTGGAAAGTTTCCACGAGCATTTAGAGAAGTTTGAATGCCAGGGATATCTGAGCCTCATTTGAATACCCGTGACTTCCAACGAGACGATTAGCACTGTCGGCCGGATGTGACCTTTTACCTGATGACGTGCCCTGGGCACGGTTTGGCTGACGTAAGTTGATGGATCCCACACAGGGGGACAGACACAGGCTAATTTTACTTGACGACTTAACACACGAAACAACCTCAGATTTCTAGAGACTCGTAATGGACCGATTAACTGATGCGGTTAAAGAACACCCGATGTATGCCCTGGCATTCAAAGGGCGTTTCCTCGGATTATTCTGTTCGCTGAGGTAAACACGCTAATGGTGTCGGCCTACAGGAGATGCAAACAAAAGGAGGGACAAAAAGCAGAAAAAGGTCCCACAAGGCCCCAAGTCCCATCTCCCTCTTGAGATAAATAGACAGCAGTGAGACTGGATCTTTATTTCCACCCCCACCCACCTCTTCAGCTACAAAACAACCTACTAACGACCTTATACTTTAAACACCAAGGAAAAGAAATCATAAATATACCGAAAATAGGGCGGGCAACCTCAAGAACTCAGAGTACAAAATATGTTTTTGCATTTGTGGCATGAGGGGAAACGAACGCTCAGAAGTAGAGAATAGAACGATGTACAGGCTGGATGCAATATTCTAGCTTCTTGTGTCTCCAGTGGAAGAAGTATCTATACAGAGCACATTGGTTACTGAGTGACACGGAGAGCGTGATAAATACTGCACAAAGCTTTCAGATCAGGATTCAAATCAAATTATAATTTTGTAAGTCTGAAAAAGAGACGATCGCTTTAACAATAAATGACAAATACTTACAAAATTTCCATATTCTTCAGATGCCTGATGGCTCCGTCAGACAAACAGGTGATTTGATTATGGTCCAGTTGCCTGTGGATAGAGAAACAAAGAATTATCATTACGGCGTCATTAGATAGACATCAAACCTGGTATCACGTCATACTTCTGTAACAAAGTTTATCAAAATTTGTTTGTCAGTCTCCAAAAGGATTTTCATTTAAATTACCCCTGCCATCCCCCCAAAAAACCCCCAACAAAGAATAAAACAAAACAAACAAACAAACACGCACCCCTTTAAAAAACCCAACAAAAACGAACAAAAAAAGCCCAAAC